TTTAAACCACAACAAGAATAAAATACTTCTTCTTCAGACCTGAAAGCTGAGCTCCTTTGTCCTTGAGACGGTTCATTTTAAGTCCCCTGTGTGAAAAGGAGTTAAAATAAGTTGTCCGTTTTTAATTGATTAAAAAGGGGATTAAAAAAAAGATGCTGAATGAACAGAAAATCAGTCTGTTCCAACCAGATGACATGGTTTAGAGTTGAGGGGGATTGAAGCTGGGGAAAAAACATTCCACTGGGGTAAAAAGCTTTCCTAGTTATGTCATATGGTTTAACTTGTCTTTTATTTCTGGTGGCTGATACCAAAATGGCTGCCAAAAAATCAAGTGATTCATCAACACCCTCAAGTAAACACGTCTCTCGGTCATACATACTTTTGGGGTTAGTTTGTTTTGGTGTTAGAACCTGGTTTAGGTTTTGGCTGCTAGTATGTAAGATGTAGTATGTAAGATGTAGTATGTAAGAGTAGTCTGGTAATAGGGAATGGGCTGATCTTAAGTTTCTCCCTGAATTTAAGTTGCATTATCTGTTTGTGTAAGAGAATACTCCTTTTTAGGGGTAGTATTTTTTTTGTTTATTTGAATATCCTGGCATTATCTGGAGTTGACAGTATCAGAGAGAATTATCATCAGAATTGGACCCAAAGAGTATTTTAAGGATGTGAAGCTTTTCCAGTGATTTCCTTACCTGACACCTGGTGATTCCGATAATTCCAGTTCTGTGTGTTTGGGAGCAGATGGACTGAATTCTTATCAAAAATATAAATATTGACAGTGTCTCAGTCGGTCAAATGAAGGTGCTCCATTTATGGTTAAAAGCAAGAAATAGCTCTTAAGGAGTGAGTGATCTCATTCTAAAATAGATACAAGGCAGATATAAACTGCTCCAACACCTCATATTGTTCTCCATTAACTGTAAATCAGATCATTAGCTCAGATGGCTACCTGGCAGATACTACCTGACAAGATGCTAATAAGCAATGTGAAGAAGGTCTATTACAGCAATGTGAAGCATAGCACCTTTTTTATAAGCTTTTTCTAGTCTTCACTGGAATTTGTTGCAGTTTATTCTTGTAAACTTAATTGCAAGCAACTAATCCACTGTGCAAATTTGAATAAATATTATCCTGATACTACTTACTGCTTTTATTAAAAAAAAAAAAAAAAGAAAAAAAAACTAATTGAGAAGCTGTGTTCTTACAACCAGTTACCCTATGGAAATAACTCCATTCAGAAACTCTTCAGAACTGCAACACAAGATCATGTGTCATGATTGAGACACATGAAATAGAAAGGTTAAAAACATAAATATCTGATCAAAATGAATTCTGACTTTTGATTATAATTCCTTGACAATTCTGAAGATGTCACTGATGCACCCTTACTCACAACTGTCTTAAGAATGTTAAAGAATCTTGCTATAAGTTAGTAAATGTGTATTTACAAGACAGAAAAAAAATACTGTTCACATAAGGTAAAATGATATTACCATATCTTATGGATCTGCGTTAAAAATTGTTGCTTATGCACAGAGCAAGTGAGTGGTCCCACCATATTTGTAATGATACCTATTGGTCAATAGCTGTGGAAGGCTGATTGCTGTGATGCACACTGATCTTAATAACATCATGCAAAGGTGGCCAGAGATGCAGTGACTCCCTGCAGACAAAATTAGTTGTAACAGTGTAGCCTAAGGAGTATAAGAAAGAATAAAATTAAGTTTAAAAATAAATAAATAAAAATAATGCCCAAATTGTCCCTTGACTTGGAAAAATATTTACCAGAAAAGTAAAGATATCAGAGAATTTTTATATAATGTATCTGTTTCAGATTTTGTAATGTGGCAATAAAATTTATTTTTTCTTTATAAGGATGTATCCTAAAGACAGGCATTTTAGTTTCTGCATAAGCAATGCACATAAAATTTGTCACAAATAGAACTATAATTTAGAATAATAATTAGAATCCATTAAAGTTCTTTTCATTGTGGTTGTGTTTTTTTGTTTGTTTTTTTTTCATCTCAATTAATGTAATAAAAAATGAGATTTTAAGCTTTGGTTAATTTGTTTTGCTCAGACTGAAGTACTTGTGTAAGTTTCTTATTGCATAAAAATGTGAGGGGGAGGTTAATTGAAAAAGCAGTAGTATCAATGTCTCCTTGGATATTCTATTCAACATTTTTAAGTAGATGCTTGGACATTCTAATTGTCAATATGAAACTGTCTGAAGAATTGACACTGTAAATACTGAGCCTCTTAACATATTTATTTATTTATTTTTAACTTTTACCCTGATAAACACTGGGTATCCCTGAGGAATTTACATTAAAATGTCATACCACTCTATTGAAAAAACAAATACAGACCTTGTGAAGAAATTTATTAAGGTGTCTTGACGTTTAAAAATGAAGATAAGTAAGACCTGCAAACCATTTGGATGGATTAGATACTTACCTATCATTGAAGCTAATGCTTTGCAAAAACAGGATCCTTGAAAGTGATATCTTCTTATGCTTATACAAAAAAAAAAGGGAGAAAAAAAAACAACCCACCAACCAACCAAAGAAACATGAAGCAACACAACAAAAAAAGTAAGATAAGACAGTACTAAAAGAAAGAAGCACAGTACACTTTAACTCAAGCTAAGTGTAATTTTCTAGCTCTTATATTAGATATAATAAGTAGTAAATTAGTGCTTCTGAATTTAGTTAAAAATGTCAAGTTACAATGTATTTATACCCCAGATATCCCAGAAACCATTGTATGTTTACTCAATTAATATGTAAGGTGCAAACTTGTTCACACTCTTCCCTAAAAATGTGAAGGATCTCCTTCAAAATGGTCATGTTGGTTACGTAAAGAAATACATAATTTATAAAACAGGTAATAATTTTTATTGATTTAACGTTATTTTAATCCTCCTAGTTCCCAACTAGTACCCTTCTAGTAGTAGTTTTCCTTAAAGTTAACAGGAAATATCTTCAAATTGAAAATAAATAGATTGATGTGGCTTCAACTGTTTCCTTTGGGTTTTTCCTGAAAGGCTACATTTAGCAATAAAAAGCCAAACTGTGACACTGTTACCTTTCCTCATAAAGGGTGGTGATTCTTTCAGTGTTCATGTCATTATGCAAATGTTATCTGTATCAGGTTGTAGGTCCAGAGGCTTCTTTCACCTTGTTGAAAAATGAGAATGCAAAGGTAATAAGAATATAAGCATATAAGAAAAGGAGATTTTAAACTTCATCTAATTTCTTTATCAACACATTTCTCAGTCCATCTACTTTTCATAGCTGTTCTGCACATTTTTCAGTTTTCTTCCTTCTGGTACTGGGATGATCAGTTTTAGCCTGAAAATATCTTTTGGTAGCTTCCACATGACACAGTGGATCTGTATTCTAGATAATGAGAAGTTGTTACCTGCAAGCATGTAGCACACGTGGGAACATCATTAATAAATATATGGGTCAGCCAAGAATCAGCTGCTGAGTGTGCCTTCTGACCATATTACATAAACATGTGATGGATAGAAATTAAGAGAAAAAGTCAGATAATGTGAAAAGAAACGTGACATTAATACAAACATAAAAATAAGCAGAGGACAGCCACTGAAATTATGCTGTGTACTTGATCAGATTGATAATCTCACCTTTGCAAACAGATGTTTTATAACTAAATCCAGTAAAGTATAAATTCCCAGTTTCTATGTTATATTAAAAGCCCCAGATACAGTGAAAGAAGGAGAAAAGGTCAGATCTTAAGTGTTATGGTTATTGTATTTTGGGCTGGTATTGCAGTATTAAGCAACTTTTCCTTTCAATGTCATTCTATTGTAATGTTGAGGATTTCAGAACTCCTCAGTGCCATGTAATAGAGCTATTAAGATTTGTAGATTTCTCTTTATGTGACAAGAAATAAAAAAAAACCAACGAGTGGGGAAAAGAGTGACTTTATCTAACTGTTGAACTATATTACTTTGAACAGAAAGATCAATATACACCTAATCCTCCTGTAGATGGAAATGATTTTTTTCCAAGTGCAGCAAAATAAAATCATGTTAGTTTCTTACAGTTTATATTATGTTTCCACATTTTAATTTCCTATTTTTTTCCAGTTCTCCAAGATGACTTTGTGATCTCTAATTTAGTTCCTTAAATTATTAACATAAGAAAGTTATAAGAGATACTAATGTAAAACCCCACACTTAAAAATAATCATTGAGGGGGGGAGCATGATGGCAAAATGACACTTATTTCTCACTAAAAGAAATATTTTTTAATTTGATCTATTTTATCTTTTATTCATTGAAATGTATATCAGTCTGAAAGATAAAAAGCATGTCTTGTGAAATTGTAAAATTAAGTTAAATATAAGTATTAAAGTAAGATAAATATTATGCATCCATATATATTCTTTTATCTAATATAAAGTCTTTTAGAAGACCTATATACTGTGAGAAGCCTACCATATGTTGCTCAGATAAAATTAATCCCAAAATCAAGTTACAAATAACAAACACAAAATTTGAAGATTTGTAAGCCCTATTTTGAAGATATTTTTATGGTTTTAGTCATACTAAGATAGGCAGTTATTTAGTTCTTTGCAGAGAGATGGTTGTGGATTTTGCTCTACCGCCGAAGAGAATGCCAGTTTTATCACCAGTTTCAGTGTGTGTGTGGAGGGGAAATCACAGCCTGATTGATACTTACTTAGATGTTAGTCTGAGTTAGAAAATACAGTATTCCTAAGTCTTCTTTTCCTTTCCACACTTTACAGTCTATTTTTGTATCCTTATACAGTTGAATTAATAGTAGTTTAAAAAGAAATGTTTCTAATACTGTAATGTTCAGGTTCCTGAAGTGTCCAGTCAGAGAGACTAATCCTCCTTCTTTTCACTTTTTCTGTAGAGTTTTTTAAATATAACTCAGATTATTTATAAAAGATCTTTTCATTTTGTAAATACCAAGTAAATAAGTTTGTATCCTATTTTTTTTCAGGCTGCCTGGAACTGAAAGAAGATACCATTGAAAATCTTCTAGCAGCTGCCTGCCTCCTCCAGCTCCCACAAGTAGTAGAGGTTTGCTGCCATTTTCTAATGAAGCTTTTGCACCCATCCAACTGTTTGGGAATACGAGCATTTGCTGATGCGCAAGGATGTACAGAGCTTATGAAGGTGGCTCACAACTACACCATGGTAAGGCAGTGATCGTGAATCCGCTGTGTCTTCTGTAAGTAAAAATACATTGTTAGTTTTTGGCTTGAAATCATTCTGTATTGTATGGAACTTTATTTCAGAAGTGGCACTTTTGAAACCATAGTAGTGAGGATTCCTTTTAATGTCAGTGAAATTATGAAGAGTTGTAATTAATAAGCACTGATGTAACTACAGTTACATTTGCAGGCAGGCACAATATTCATGCTTTCTCCTTGCTAGTAATAAAAACAGTCACATCTATTCAGTTATGCCATTACAGTATTCTTTTTTGTACACGGTTAAACTTCCAACCCAGTGACAACATAATCCCAAAAATTAAAGCTTTGTAGTGGGTGATATTTAGGCATAGGCATTGCATTTAGGTGTGAAGCACTTCACATCTATTTGATTTACTGTTTGTGTTAAAGGGTGTGGATGACCAGTTGTGAGTGGGGGAGGGATGCCTCATTGCCCTTCTTGACTGCAACACTCTCAATCAGAAGGAATCTACGTAAGAGAAAAGTGATGATTTCTTCTACATGCATGAATAACCAATAAAAGCTTCTGCAGTGCAAGGAAGATATTCTGAAGTGTCAGAAGACTCACAAGCAGAGACCTTGTAATATGAAGAAAGGGTAGGGAAGTATTGAGCAGAGCAAAGAACAGATGCATAGTCTCTGAGATGAGCAGAATGTTTTTTTCATTCAGGGAAATTGTATGCACTGTGACAACAGCAAATGTAAAGCAAGGCAAGGGGGAATTTGTTAACAAACTCCACCTGTCTTATGCAAAGGATTTGAAGGTAAGTCCTGTTTAAAAAAAGAATGGGGAAATCCTTGCTTTTAAAAGTTCTCGTGCTTTCAAGAGCACTTCAAGGCCCTTGCTTTAAAGCTTTTCAGGGTGCTTTCTTTAAGAGTTGCAAGTGACATATCTCGAATTTTGGCTGTGTGAATCCTCTTCCAAGGTATCACTGCAAAAGGTTGTTTGTTGTGATAAGGTAATTATGTTGCTCCCTTAAGTCTGACATATTATGTGGCATTTACTGGGAGAAAATTTGGGAGTGGAGGGAATTTTTGACAGCATTTGAGAAAACTAATGGCTTTTGAAGGGTAAAACAGTATTATGATTTCTTTCTACACTTTTTCAAATCTTGAGAAACACTTATTTCTGGATATTTAGTACTACATTGGCAGAATATTTCAATATAGTTCAGTGAAGAGGGAATTATGGCTGACTATCTGAATAGTGAGTTCTAGGATGCTAATCATCATAATACATTTTTTTACTGGAATATAAATAAGCAGGCTAAATGGAATAGATACACATGTCCCCATAGAAAAGAAAAACTGAGGGTAGTGACTGAAATTATATACCTTTCATCTTGTTCTTTGCATCTTCAAAAGTATCTACTCTGCATTAAACACAAGAAATACTTTTTGGCCCCATTTTATGTCTCTTAAATACTGTAGGCAAGTATTGTCAAAAACAATAGTAATAATGATTATGATAATATTATATTTTTTATTATTGTTGTTATTATTGTTATAACCATAATGCTATAGAGAAATACAGCAAGGCTTGACCAGAAATAATGGTGCTGTACCATAAAAATTTTTTGATATAAAACGTCTCAAAGCAACAGTAATTCTGCACTAGTGGGAATGGGGAGCAAGACAGTTTTTCAAATAATTTTGCAAAAATAAATTTATAGATATGTTAAATGCTACAGAGTGTGCAATAATTCTGAGATGTGGCTCAAGTTAAGTGTCATCTTGGAATAATTTTGCTTCTTAGTTAATTACATAGATGAAATTAAATATTAATTGATTCCTAAAAAGAAAGGCTAATTTTCAGCTGAGGTACAGCAACCATAGGATAAGTCTCTGATTCTACCTAGGAAATGTCTTACAGCTTCCCTCCACCAATTATTTTTATGTCTTCCCAACAGCATTTTAATGACAGTCAATATATTTTTATGAAAACGGTTTGCTTCACTGGACCTGCATGAATGTTTTAATCTTAATTTTCTAAAAGCATTTTCCTTGCCTAGTGTCAGACTTGATATTTTACAAGTTGTAAAGTTCATTAAAAATAAATAAATATTATACATAAAAATACATATACAAAATCAGTTTGCTTTGTGAACTCACATAACCTGTTATGAGGGGAAGACATTTGAGCTTGGCAATTTAGTTATATTGAAGAAGAAATAGCTGATAAAGGGCAGACCCTTTAGCATCCTGTTGACTTCAGGAGATAGTTCATTTCCAATGCATTTTCTGTCACATTAAATAACTTCAATTTCCTACAACCATGAAATCTGTGAAGCCATGAATACAAATTTTCATTTGCATAGTTGACACAGGTATGAACAGACTTAATTCAAGTGTGACAAACTTATTTCAAAATGCAGAAGCATTGATGAGCGTGGAAAAAGCTTCTAATGGAAGTAAAATTCATTAACTGTACAGTTATATATCCCTTTCCCTGAGCAGAAGTATATAATATCCTCAGTATTTAGAGAGATATTTTGTCTTCAGTGTCAACTACCATATTGCTCTTTTGAAATGCAAAATCTAAATGAGGAAAGTAAGATGTGTACATGGAGAAGGGGAGGCAGTGAGGAATATAAGAAAAGAAGTGAAGGAAAGCCAAAAAACATTTGAAAAATCTTTTGGAAACACATTTGCCAAATAGCGAGTTATGGGGTTGGTGAAGCAAGAGAGGAAGGTAGACTTCATAAAAGTTAGTGAACAATGAACACTAGAGATGTCTATGTTTGCATTCCCTGTATTTTTTATAAATGGAACCTGGATAGTAACATTTGACAGCATTAGAATCAGAAAGTTAAAAATAAGAGCAAAAAATTAAAAGTTTCATTGGTTTCTTTTTCTTCGGCACATCAGAATCAATGTGGGTTGTTTTATTTCTGAGGTGTGAAATTTTCCTGCCAGTGTTTTATGGTGTGATTTTTGTTGTTTTTTGATTGTTTAGGGGTGGGGGGAGTGTGGGGTTTTTGTTTGTTTTGTTTGTTTGTTTGTTGGTTTTTTTTTGTTTTTTTGTTTTTTGTTTTTGAATGAATCTGCTAATTTAAATGGCAGCGCAAGTATTTACATCTCTCTTAAGACTGCTGTACTTCTTAATTGCAATCTGGGGTTTTACTAGACTGCCAATTTCTGAAAATTTTCAATCTGATAAGCTGTATGTGTAATAACTTTAAATTCTTAATTTATTGTCAGTTATATGAAAGTAAACTGCATATGTGATATTTTTTTACAAAATGAAAGCAGAAAAATGGAACATACCAATAAGCTAAAGCAAATGCATTCTTCTAACAAGCATTTTTAATGACGGTTCTTTATTCTTCTAGTTGCCAAGGGTTTCATATGTGGGTGTCGTGGTTTAAACCCAGTCAGGTAATTCGTTTGCTCACTTCCCCCCCTTTCTTGCCCTCCCCCTGCTCTCGGAGGGACGGAGAGGAGAATCGAAAAGAATGCAACTCTCACAGGTTGAGATAAGAACAGTTTAGTAACTAAGGTATAACACAAATCACTACTGCTACCACCAATGATAATAATGATAAAGGAAATAACAAGGGAAGAGAATACATCATCTCACCACCAGCTGACCGATAACTCGCCCCCCCAGCCCGACCAAGCTCTGACCGATACCTCCTCCAACCCCGCAGTCTCCCAGCCCTTCCGGCTAACTCCCAGTTGCATCCTGGGCATGACGTGCTGTGGTATGGAATACCTCTTTGGTCAGTTTGGGTCAGGTGTCCTGTCTCTGCTTCCTCCTGGCTTCCCCTCCTCCCTGGCAGAGCATGAGGCTCACAAAGTCCTTGGCCAAACCAAAACATCCTTGTTATCAGCTCTGTTCCTGAGCTGAAAGTCAAAACACTGCACTACACCAGCTACCAAGGAGGAGAAAAATGGCTGCTACTGCTGAACCCAGGACAGTGGGGAAAATAACTTTTTAAGTCACCAATTCATCAGCTTGTCATATTTAGAAATCAGAGTCACAGTGTTTGGTCTTATCTGTCTCTTTATGAAACAGAGTAGTCTAATTCAGAATTGTGGTGGCAACTTTGTTGGAATGCAACTCATTTTGCAATATATGACTTTTTTACAATATACTTTATTTTTGAACCATTCTATATTTATAATAACCAGAGAAGGTTTTTCCATAATAGACCATGATAGTTTAATGAACTCTGTGGCCTTGATGTACCTTTAGCCCTTCTCATAATAGATACTTTTCTACATTAGTAAATATATATAGAGAAAAAGTATGTAATATTTTTCATTAAGGTAATTGCAGTTTGGTTTTAGACCATGGGAAATTCTTTTAAAATTTATTCATATTTGATAAAATTTTGAACACAACCGCAGTTTTTTTTTCTTTCTCGGTGAACAACATGGTTCTGCTTGTCATATAGATAACGTTTAGAAATTTAGTGTGGCACTTGAAGTTATGTTGTCAGTTTCTTCATCTAAATGTCATGCAATTTGATGGAAACCCAATTGTTTCAAATTGAAAATTGAAATACCTCAAAAATATTTAATCCTTCAGTGCTTACCTTTCAAGAAATTGCACTTAAACTTCAGTGATTATTTTGAATCTAGAAACTGTGGTTTGACTATTGAGATATTAGAGCTTGTTCCACATTTTGTTTCATCAAGATGAATAGCTAAACATAAACTTGGAAAATATCTTCAAATTACCTTGAGGATCTGAGTAGGAGGATGGCCATAAGTAAAATTTCCAAAACCAGAAGAATGTGTATAAATAAAGTGGTTGATGTGCTTGTAACCCAGAATGTTAGCAATATAAAGGACCCTAACATATGTTACAGTTCCAAGCCTGGAAAATGCAGCATGTTTTCAAGTGCCTTTGAATGGAGTGGTAGAAGGTTTCTTGTAGATGTAGTTCTTTGCTTCATACTGCAAGGGTCATTAGTCCCACCACAGCAAAACATTATTCAAAACTAATTATAAGCA